CCTCCAAGGTCCCTTCCAACTACTACTACTTCTACTACTACTACTTCTTCTTCTTCTTCTCCTCCTCCTCCTCCTCATTATTATTATTATTATTATGGATCATCGCACAGTCAGCCATATGTTCAGACTGGATTTGGCATTTTGTCTACCTATCGAGTCCTTACCCAGGACCTGGGATAGGCAGATGTGGATGTTTGATGGTATTACAGGTATCGTCGCAGGATGGAAGCAGTTCCTAGTAAGGCCGCCTTTTGCAATTGACTAATAGCGAATTTGTCAATGCCAATGGTGTTCAAGTGGTGCTCCAGTTGTTTTGGGATTGCACCCAAGGAGCCTATGACTACTACTACTATTATTATTATTATTTCCTCAGTCAGGTACGTGTTAAAGTCCACACGTGTTAAAGTGGCCAAGTTTGAAGACCCCCTGCCTTTGTGGTTTGTTTCTGCTGCTTGGAGCTTTTCTGTGAAGTCCAATCCTGCTAATCACTTGGGATCTAAAGATCTCCCTGAACAGATAACAGAGGCTGAGGCCTATGTGTTGTCCTGCACAAAGGACAAAAGCAGCAGTGGCCTTGAACAACCCATGCTGCAAGTTTTCCAGAAGTTTCTCAAGCAGGTAACCCGCAGAGCGAAAGGGCAGAGCGAAAGGCCCTCCTCCACCCATTATCCGCTTAAATCCAGGGTGGGCTGTATCTGCAACAGCTAATAAATTAGGCCTCGGGATTTCTCAAATCCGTTAGGAAACCGCTTTGGGAGACGGGCCTTCCCGTTGCCAAACAAAGGAGAGGGGTTCAGCCGTTCAGAAGCGATGTGCCAGCAGCAGCTTAAGCCTAGGGAATCCCTTACACGCGGCACCGGCCTGGCCTTGAAGCCCCTCGCAAGAGCGACTTTTTAACTTGCGGTGGCCGAGGCGACAACCCGTGTGCAAAGCCACCAGGTGCAGCGCCTGGCCGCGGGACAGCTAGCCCGCCAGGTATTCTGGAAGACGGCGAACAGCTCTGTCCCGGCCAGATCCACGCAGAACATCCAGTACTTGCAATCCGCCAAGTTTCTTGCACTGTAAATATTTCAACACCCCTACGAAAACGAGCAGACAGGGGTGCCGTGGGTCTGCCGAAAGCCGTAGTCCTCGGCTTCTGACTGACTGCAGAAATATGCAAGGGATTCCACAAAGGCAGATAGGAAGATTGCGGCACCGCTTCCAAGCTCAGGGTGAAGCCAGGCCAAGAGCGACAGAGCGGAGATGAAAGGAGATATACAGACCTGGCTGTTAAGGTCAGGACAAAGTCTCCAAAGGAGGCAGAAGCCATCAGCCACCCTTTTTCTGAATTAGCTCCTTTGCTCAGATGGATGTTAGAATTAACAGAAGAATAGAGCTGGAAGGGAACCTGGAGGTCCTCTAGTCCAACCCCCTGCTCAGCCAGGAGACCCTATACTATAGTTGTCCAGTCTCTTCTTAAAAACTTCCAGTGTTGGAGCATTCACCGCTTCTGGAGGCAGGTTGTTCCACTGATTAATTGTTCTCCCTATCAGGAAGTTTCTCCTTAGTTCCAGGTTGCTTCTCTCCTTGATTAGCTTCCATCTGTCACTTCTTGTCCTGCCTTCGGGCGCTTTGGAGAAGAGCTTGACTCTTTTCTTTGGAATAGCCCCTCCAAGGGACCCTGGAGGTCTTCTAGTCCACTTCTAGTCCACTTTTTTCAGTGCCGTTGTAAGTTCAAACAGTCACTAAGCGAACTGTTGTAAGTCGAAGACTACCTGTACTTTATTACGGTTTTTTTTTTGGTCATCAATTTTTTGACACCTTGCTAAGCGACTGCTGGTACTCAGATGTTGCCATATCTTAAAAGTGGTTGTTTTGGGATTGCATCCAAGGCGTCTATGACTATTAGTACTACCCTTGCTTGCTTTTGCCACAGTCTTTCTATTTCTATTTGTAGGTCTTTGTATTTTGTGATCTTCTCCAGTTCTTTCTCGTCTATTCTGCTGTCTATTATTATTATTATCGATCATCGCACAGTCAGCCAGATGTTCAGACTGGATTTGGCATTTTATCTACCTATCGAGTCCTTACCCAGGACCTGGGATAGGCAGATGTGGCTGTTTGATGGTATTACAGATATCGTCGCAGGATGGAAGCAGTTCCTAGTAAGGCCGCCTTTTGCAATTGACTAATAGCGAATTTGTCAATGCCAATGGTGTTCAAGTGGGGCTCCAGTTGTTTTGGGATTGCACCCAAGGAGCCTATTACTATTGGTACTACCCTTGCTTGCTTTTGCCACAGTCTTTCTATTTCTATTTGTAGGTCTTTGTATTTTGTTATCTTCTCCAGTTCTTTCTCATCTATTCTGCTGTCTCCAGGCACTGCCACGTCCACTATCCAGACTTTTTTGTCTTTCTTATCGACAATTGTTGTTCTTGTTGTTGTTATTATTATTATTAATCGACTGCAGTGATTCACTTAACAAGCAAGGTTGCAAAACGGGGCACCACCCACCCAGCAAACATCACCCTTCGCAAGAGAAATTTTGTGCTCAGCGGTGGCCGTAAGTTGAGGACCACCTGCACTCTTTCCTTTCCCCCTCTCTGTCTATCCCACCTGCTCCTGTCTTCTGCCAGCCCAAATTCCTTACTGCCCGCAAAGCCTTCTCAACTTTTTACAAGTCGCCTTGAGGAAGAGTTCTCTCTCCGCTCGGCCTCAGACCTCACGCTCCCTACCAGCCAGCAAAGTTCAGAAAACCAATTTTCCCCCCACCCAAAAAAAACCATTAAAAAAAAATCCCACGAAAGGAAGCAGTTTAAAAAGTCACAGGCAAAAGAACACCAGATTTGTGAAGATCACATTTCTCTCTCTTTCTCTCTCTGCCATGCAAGGGGAAGGGAGGGGGGGCAGGCAACGGAGAACTTACAACAGGGAGAAACTTTCTTGAACTTGGCTGGCCTTCTGAAGCCTCCATTCAACAGCAAAATCGCTGAGCCAAAAGAGATGAAGGGAATGAGAGAGAGAGAGAGAGAGAGAGAGAGAGAGAGAGAGAGAGAGAGAGAGAGAGAGAGAGAGAGAGAACTGCCAGCTGTTTTTACGACTCTTCCATGCTCCACTGGAGAAGGCTTAATTCTACTAGGAAATGCTCTCTGAGTTTATACAGGGATGCGAAGCGGCACCCGGCTGTCTTTGCAAATTGGAATGGAGGCGAAGGACACACTTGGAGAAATTGCAGAGGTGTAGATTTCGGTGAAGCATTAGGATGGGGAGGAGGCGGAGGAAAAGAAAAAAAAAAAGTCCGCTGGTGGGGAAAGTTGTTTAATGGAGGAAAAGCTGTCGAAGGGGAGGGGAGTCACATGAAGGCAGCCTTCCAATATTTGTGAGGGGCTGCGACAAGGAAGAGGGTGTCCACCTGTTCTCCAAAGCACCTGAAGGCGGGACAAGAAGCAACGGATGGAAACTCATCAAGGAGAACTAAGAAGGAATTTTCCTGATAGACGGAACAATTAACCAGTGGAACCACCTGCCTCCAGAAGCGGTGAACGCTCCAACACTGGAGGTTTTTAAGAAGAGACTGGACAGCCATTTGTCCGAAATGGCACTGGGTTTCCTGCCTGAGCAAGGAGTTGGACTAGATGACCTCCAAGGTCCCTTCCAACTTTATTATTATTATTATTATTATTATTATTATTATTATTATTATTATGATGATGATGATAGAGAGAATGGGCTGTTTTTTCTCCAAGAGGACTGATCTCCTGCATTGTCTACATTACAGGTCCCCAACCTTTTGGGGTTGGTGACCCGAAGCGGGTGGAGGGGAGAAAGAAGGGATGGTTTTGTGGAGGGGGGTCAATGCATGTGTGCGCACACAAACATCCATTGCTCATTTGAGTGGGGCCGTGAGCGCCAACCACGCTTGCAGCGATGCTCATTTGAGCTGGACAGCAAATGCCCACGACGCAAATGGGGTCACAAACGCCTGTGACACTCACAGCAACGCTTGCGCAAGTTGGCCCGCAAAGCCCTCAACACTTGTGGTAAATGCCCGCAACACTCATGGTAAACACCCGCAACACTCACGGAAAAGCTCACACGAGTTGGCCTGCAAACTCCCGCAGCACTTGCGGTAAACGCCCGCAACACTCATGGTAAACACCCACAACACTCACAGAAACGCTCACGCAAGTTGGCCCGCAAACGCCCTCAACATTTGCGGTAAACGCCCACAACAGTCATGTAAACGGTCGCGCGAGTTAGCCTGCAAATGCCCTCAACACTCACGGTAAACGCCTACAACACTTGCGGTAAACACTCACGTGAGTTGGCCCACAAATGCCCTCACGGTAAACGCCCGCAACACTCATGGTGAGCATTTGGCCCGCAAATGCCCTCAACTCTCACGGTAAATGCCCGCAACACTTGCAGTAAACACCCACAACAGTCATATAAACGGTCGCGCGGGTTGGCCCGCAAATGCCCTCAACACTCACGGTAAACGCCCGCAACACTTGCGGTAAACACTCACGTGAGTTGGCCCGCAAACGCCCCCACAGTAAACGCCCTCAACACTCACAGAAATGCTCGCACGAGTTGGCCCGCAAATGCCCTCAACACTCATGGTAAATGCCCGCAACACTTGCAGTAAACATCCACAACAGTCATATAAACGGTCGCACGGGTTGGCCCGCAAATGCCCTCAACACTTACGGTAAATGCCCGCAACACTTGTGGTAAACGCTCATGTGACTTGGCCCACAAATGCTCTTACGGTAAATGCCCTCAACACGCACGGTAAACACTCACGTGAGTTGAGCTATGCTGACTCAGGAATTCTGGGAGTTGAAGTCCACATGTCATAAAAGAGCCGAGGTTGCCTACCCCTGCGCTAAGCCATTGCGCCATTCACTCCCTCCCCCCGTTATACACTCCAGGCAAAATCTCAGTTTCCAGGATAAATATCTTTGAACAGAACATGGCAGTAACTGGACATGAAATATTAAGAGATAGTGTCCTACCATCTGGAAGCGGCTTGCAAGAGAGAGCGTCGTCCAGATCCTTGGCGGTGGATGGGTCAATGGTGAAGATGCATTCTTTCCTGTAAGAACGGAAGAAACGAAAACTTAGTCAAGCACAAAAAAATATCAAAAAGAATTGATTTCTTAGTGCTCTCTCTCTCTCTGTCTCGGTGTTTCCCAACTTTTGCAATTTTAAGATGCGTGGACTTCGACTCCCAGAATTCCCCAGCCAGCATGCCTGGGCTTCAACTCCCAGTGTTGCTTGGCTGGGGTATTCTGGGAGTTGAAGTCCACATGTCTCAAAATGGTGCAGGTTGAGAAACACTGCTCTAGTTTGATAGTTACCTGGAACTACACAATGTAAAGTGCAGAAAACCAGCGCAAATTTCTAGACCTTTGTGTGTGCTCTTGAGAAAAAAAGATACAGCGATAGCCTTTAGACTTATATACCGCTTCACAGCGCTTTACAGCCCCTCTCTAAGCAGGTTACAGAGTCAGAATTTTACCCCCAACAATCTGGGTCCTCTTTTACCGACCTCAGAAAGAGGGAAGGCTGAGTCGATCTTGAGCCGGTCAGGATCGAACTGCTGGCAGTGGGCAGAATCAGCCTGCAATGCTGACGTCTAACCACTGGGTCACCACAGGAGGGAGGGAGGGAGGGAGGGAGGAAGGAAGGGAGGGAGGGAGGGAGGGAGGGAGGGAGGAAGGAAGGAAGGAAGGAAGGAAGGAAGGAAGGAAGGAAGGAAGGAAGGAATAGCTATAGCACTTAGACTTATATAAAACTTCACAGGGCTTTATAGCCCCTTTCTAAGCAGTTTACAGAGTCAGCCTCTTGCCCCCCAACAATCTGGGTCCTCATTTTACCAACCTCAGATGGATGGAAGGCTGAGTTAACCTTGAGTGGGTCTGGATCGAACTGCTGACAGTGGGCAGAGTCAGTCTGCAATGCTGAATTCTAACCACTGGGCCACCACAAAAGGAAGGGAGGGAGGAAGATAGCACTTAGACTTATATACCGCTTCACAGTGCTTTTACAGCCCTCTCTAAGCAGTTTACAGAGTCAGAATTTTACCCCCAACAATCTGGGTCCTCATTTTACCGACCTCGGAAAGAGGGAAGGCTGAGTCGATCCTTGAGCCGGTCAGGATCGAACTGCTGGCAATGGGCAGAGTCAGCCTGCAAGGCTGCATCCGAACCACTGCGCCACCAGAAGCAAGAATCCTTCTGATTTAACATGGAACTTCTGAAGAGGTCTTACGTGTATATCAGCAATACATGTAATTCTGTTTTTGATCACCAACTAGAACAGTTTTGGCCTGGCTGTTTGAGGATTACAGGAGTTTAATTACATAAATTTAGACATCTGGAAGTTTCTAGCTTCTGGAAGGGGTCGCCTGGGTCAAAATACAACTACTTGTCGATTTTAAAGTTCCTCTCTTTTCCGACACAAATCTGTCTCTTCCTTGTATTGTCAGTTTTTATTATACGGATAGTCCTTGACCCACAACAGTTCATTTAGTGACCGTTCACACTGAAAAAAGTGACTTATGGCCAGTTTACACCATTACGACCGTTGCAGCGTCCCCCTGCTCATGGAATAAAAATTTGAATGCTTGGCAACTGCTTCGTATTTCTGACGGCTGCATTTATGACGGGGGTCATCGGATCCCCTTTTGCGACTGTCGGCCAAGCAAAGTGATCAGGGAAGGCAGAGTCACTTAACAACCATGTTCCTAACTTAACAGCCTCAGGGATTCACTTAACAACTGTGGCAGGGAAGGTCGTAAAACGGGGCAAAACTCACAGGCACTGTCTTGCTTAGCGGCAGAAATTCTATTCTAGTTTAGTCTAATCTCTATTCTAGTCTAGTCTCTATTCTATTCTTTTGTATTCTATTTCTTATTCTATTTCTATTCTAGATTTTCTCTTCTCTTCCTTATTCTATTTCTCATTCTATTCTATCTCATTCTATTTCTTATTTTATTCTATTCTAGTCTATTCTATTCTAGTCTAGTCTCTATTCTATTCTTTCGTATTCTAATTTCTTATTCTATCTCTATTCTAGATTCTCTTCTCTTCTATTTCTTATTCTTTCTCGTTCTATTATTCTATTTCTTATTTTATTCTATTCTATTCTAGTCTATTCTATTTCTTATTCTATTATTCTATTCTATTCTAGTCTCCATTCTATTCTTTTGTATTCTATTTCTTATTCTATTTCTATTCTAGATTCTCTTCTCTTCTATTTCTTATTCTTTCTCATTCTATTCTATTCTATTCTATTCTATTCTATTTATTATTCTATTATTCTATTCTATTCTATCTTATTCTATTTCTTACTCTATTCTATTCTATTCTATTCTATTCTATTCTATTCTATTCTATTCTATTCTATTCTAGATTTATAAGACTGCCCTACGCACAAAAAATGGAAGGATTTCTCAATTCCCACCATGGACGAATGGCTACAAAAGTTGATGGGAGTCGGCACAGATGGCTGAACGGACTGTTCCGATCAAAAGAAAGGAATAAAAAGTAATTTTCTTTCTACTTGGAAACCGCTTCTGGATGTTGTGCTTGAGGTGGCGGGAGAGAATGATACTTTGATTTTTAGGGTATGGTTAATTTCCCAAGCAGGGGAGAGGAAAATGTTGGCAGTTAGGGTGGCAGTGCAGGGACTATCCCGTTCCCCTGGTTACTAGGTACACACAACGCCAGGGACATCACTTCCCCGGCTGGAACAGAACAAAAATGAGGGCAGGGTGTCCTGTTGTCTACTTGCTTCTACAGAGAGGCCGGCTTTCAACTGAGGTTCTTACCTGTAATCCAGGGGAGAAACGTCTATGGAGTTTCTCAGCCATCCAGACCAGGAGTAGGCAACCTTGGCTCTTTTATGACTGGTGGACTTCAACTCCCAGAATTCCTGAGCCAGCGTGGGGGAACTATGGCCCCTTCATGACTTAGGGACTTCAACTCCCAGAATTCCTCAGACAGCATGGGGGAGCTATGACCCCTTCATGACTCATGGACTTCAACTCCCAGAATTCCTGAGCCAGCATGGCTCAGCTTGGAAACGTCTCCCTTTCCCCTCAGCGTGGCTGGCTCAGGAATTCTGGGAGTTGAAGTCCACGAGTCATAAAGCAGCCTAGGCCTAGGCCAGGGGTAGGCAACCTTGGCTCTTTTATGACTCGTGGACTTCAACTCCCAGAATTCCTGAACCAGCATGGGGGAACTATGGCCCCTTAATGACCTGCAGACTTCAACTCCCAGAATTCCTGAGCCAGCATGGGGGAACTATGGCCCCTTCATGACTCGTGGACTTCAACTCCCAGAATTCCTGAGCCAGCCATGCTGAGGGGAAAGGGAGAGGTTTCCAAGCTGAGCCATGCTGGCTCAGGAATTCTGGGAGTTGAAGTCCCCGAGTCATGAAGGGGCCATAGTTCCCCCATGCTGGCTCAGGAATTCTAGGAGTTGAAGTCCACGAGTCATAAAAGAGCCAAGGTTGCCTACCCCTGGTTTAGGCTGTGGTGCTGCCTTGCTTCATAATAATAATAATAATAATAATAATAATAATAATAATAATAATAATAATGATGATGATGATGATAGTAGTAGTAGTAGTAATAGTAGTAGTAATAGTAATAATAATAATAATAATAATAATAATAATAATAATAATAATAATAAAGTTAGCTTGTAAGTCCTCAGATTTTTCAAAGATGTCCCTTGGGAAATCATGTTCTCAGCCTGGGATAATCGTATCGGAGAGAGATTACGATAGCAATGAGAATACGGCTTTAACAGAATAGCAGAATAACAGAGTTGGAAGGGACCTTGGAGGTCTTCTAGTCCAACCCCTGCTCAAACAGGAGACCCTATACCAGGGGTAGGCAACCTTGGCTCTTTTATGACTTGTGGACTTCAACTCCCAGAATTCCTGAGCCAGCCATGCTGAGGGGAAAGGGAGAGGTTTCCAAGCTGAGCCATGCTGGCTGAGGAATTCTGGGAATTGAAGTCCTCGAGTCATGAAGGGGCCATAGTTCCCCCATGCTGGCTGAGGAATTCTGGGAGTTGGAGTCCAGGAGTCATAAAAGGGCTAAGGTTGCCTACCCCTGGGCTAAGACAAAGGTGGGAAACAATGGCCCTTTTGTGACTCGAGAACTTCAACTCCCAGAATTCCTGAGCCAGCATGGGGGAACTTTGGCCCCTTTTATAACTCAGGGACTTCAATTCCCAGAATCCCTGAGCCAGCATGGCTCAGCTTGGAAATCTCTCCCTTTTCCCTCAGCATGGCTGGCTCAGGAATTCTGGGAGTTGAAGTCATAAGAGAGCCAAGTTTGAAGACCCTTTCTTTAAATCCACGGATACACTAAGGCAGAACCTTGCCTACCCCAAGGATAAAGCACACAGGCACAAGCTGAGCAGCATGGTCTATGCAGTACAATGCAATGAGCCCTGTGCAGATCTGTACATTGGGGAAACGAATCAAGCTCTTCACAAACACTTGGCACAACATAGGAGAGCAAACCCATCAGGACAAGGTTCGGCAGTCCATCTGCTGTCCTGGTTCCGACAGATGAAACTCTTCAAAGAACTTCGAGGCATTGTTTACCTTAAAGAATCTTTATTCAAGAAGCATAGCATTGGCACTAACACAATGGAAACCAAAAACTGAATTCTCCTCCCCTGAGCACATAGTATCAAAGCACAATTCCCTCCTCCAATTAAATGTCATAAATCACATTCTCCAATTAGCTTGAAACCAGGCTTTCCCTCCAGTTCTCCAGTCAGCCAATTCTTATCGTCTCTTATTTCAATAACCTTGGTTCTCACGCTAGGTCCAGTATTGTTATGTCTAGCTAAATTCTCATGTACATTCCTCCCCCCAGTGTCATCTAACTCTAACTCTAAAAGTAAAACATAAGAAAAGGGTTGCATCTCCAACTGTTGTCAAAGCAAAAACATCCGATGTTAGCAGCGTTGACATCTGCATTTAAAAGACCAAGGCCGCTCTTTTGAAGACAGCAAAGTCCACATTCTGGACACAGACAACGGCTGGTTTGAAAGAGGGGCCAAAGAGGTCATCTAGGTCAAACCTGAACAGCCCTCCCTCAACAGAGGGGGAGGGATCTAATAATAATAATAATAAAGTTGGAAGGGACCTTGGAGGTCATCGAGTCCAACCCCCTGCTCAGGCAGGAACCCTACACCATTTCGGACAAATCTGACACCATTTATCTCCAGTCTACAGCACGGTCCTTTCAGCAGTCCCAAGAAGGCTCCACACCCATTTGCACTACTCAGGTGAGCCACAGGTAAACCTCTGGGTGGTCTCAAGGACTCTCTAGTCTGCAAGGAGTATAAATCCTTCCCTTCCCCACCATCCAGTCAGAGTTGAAGAAGCTTCTGGGATGAGAAGCGAAATGTCTTCAAAGAAAAACAAGAAAGTCCAGTGGCCTCTTGAAAATGCACCTTTCCCAGCTGGGAAATTCTGGGAGTCGAGGTCCACAAGCCTTAAAGTCATCAGGCTTGGATCTCCCTGGCTTATCCCATCTTAAGAGGTTTTCAGTCGCGCAGTTCCATAGTATAGTCAGGGGCTGGCTGGCTGGGGAATTCTGAGAGTTGAAGTTTATTTATTTATGAGACTTCTATACCGCTTTAAGTGCAAGCACTCTCTAAGTGGTGTACACCAGTCAGCAATGTATAAATATATTTACATTGCCCCCAACAATCTGGGTCCTCATTTTACCTACCCCGGAAGGATGGAAGGCTGAGTCAACCTTGAGCCGGTGAGATTTGAACCGCTGACCTGCTGAACACAGTCAGCTAAAGTGGCCTGCAGTACTGCACTCTAACTGCTGCACCACCCCGGCTCTTTAAGTCCTCTTAAAATGGCCAAGATTGGGCAACGCCGGCCTAGAGGTATCTCAAATTAGGGGAGGGGGGAAATCTCCTCTCAACCAGGGGGAAGGGAGGAATCTCCTTAAAGATTCTCATTTATAAAAGCAGCAGTTAATTAAATCTGCCCGCTGAGAAGCAGCAGGCGCATTTCCCCACAAATTGAGATTTTAATCAAACTTCTCTTCCGAGTTCAGGCCTCTCGGGGCTGCAGGGCTCATTTGTCTGCTTCTGGCATAACCCGTTGGGTTCCAGGGGAGACACTCCAAAGCTTTCAAACACGGTTTGAGGGTTGTATATATATATAAAAAAAAAACACCAAACCGTGATCAGTCCTAGGGAGCCTTCAAACTTTCTTGCTGCAATAAGGGGGAGTATCTTGAGTTCCTGGTTTTTCTCTTTTGGCGGCTGAGAAAGTGCAGGGGGGGTAACTCTGCCTCTGGTTTCACAGTCCTTTTCGGATGGGAATGCTATAGCCTGTTTGTGATGAAGGAAGGGAGGGAGGGAGGGAGGGAGGGAGGGGAGAAGGGATGAAGGAAGAAAGGAAGAGGGAGGGAGGGAGGGAGGGAGGGGAGAAAGGATGAAGGAAGGAGGAAGGAAGGAAGGAAGGGAAGGAAGGAAGGGGAAGGGAGGGAGGGAGAAGGAAGGAAGGAAGAGAAGGGGAGGGAGGGAGGGAGGGAGGAGAGAAGGGAGGAGGAAGGAAGGAAGGGAGGGAGAAGGAAGGAAGAGAGGAGGGAGGGGAGAGAAGGAAGAGGAAGAGGAGGAAGGGAGGAGAAGGAAGGGAGGGAAGAAGGAGGGAAGGAAGGAAGGAAGGAAGGAAGGAAGGAAGGAAGGAAGGAAGGAAGGAAGGAAGGAAGGAAGAGGGAGGGAGGGAGAAGGAAGGAAGCGGGAGGGATGAAGCGAGGGGAGAAGTGAGGAAGGAAGGAAGGAGGGAGAAGGAAGGGAGGGAGGAAGGAAGGAAGGAAGGAAGGAAGGAAGGAAGGAAGAGGGAGGGAGGGAGGGGAGAAGGGATGAAGGAAGGAAGGAAGGGGAAGGGAGGGAGAAGGAAGGAAGGAAGAAAGGAAGAGAAGGGAGGGAGGGAGGAGGAAGGAAGGAAGGAAGAGGGAGGGAGAAGGAAGGAAGAGGGAGGGAGGGAGGGACAAGGAAGGAAGGAAGAGGAGGAAGGGAGGGAGAAGGGAGGGAGGGAGGAAGGAAGCGGGAGGGATGAAGCGAGGGGAGAAGTGAGGAAGGAAGGAAGGAGGGAGAAGGAAGGAAGGAAGGAAGGAAGGAAGAGGGAGGGAGAAGGAAGGAACAGGGAGGGAGGGAGGGAGGGGAGAAGGGATGAAGGAAAGAAGGAAGGAAGGAAGGAAGGAAGGAAGGAAGGAAGGGGAAGGGAGGAAGAAGGAAGGAAGGAAGAAAGGAAGAGAAGGGAGGGAGGGAGGGAGGAGGAAGGAAGGAAGGAAGAGGGAGGGAGGGAGGAAGGAAGGAAGAGGGAGGGAGGGAGGAAGGAAGGAAGGAAGGAAGAGGGAGGGAGAAGGAAGGAACCGGGAGGGATGAAGCGAGGGGAGAAGGGAGGAAGGAAGGAAGAGGGAGGGAGGGAAAAGGAAGGAAGGAGGAAGGAAGGAAGGAGGGAGGGAGGGAGGGGAGAAGGGAGGAAGGAGGGAGGAAGGGAGGGGAGAAGGGAGGAAGGAAGAAAGGAAGAGGGAGGGAGGGAGGGAGGGAGGGAGAAAGAAGAGAGGAAGGAAGTCCTTGGGCAGTTCATCCAGAGGAGGGATGTGCAGCCTGCTTCCAGTTTTCACTAGAGAAACCAGACGCCAGGAGCCCAGGCTTACAAGAGGGATTCCATTTCTTAGAGGTCAAATCTTTCTATCTAACCACATTTCTTTCCCCAGACATGCAGTATAAAATATGCCACCTATAAAATTGGCCTTCAAGGTACTCCCTGGCCTTTTCACACGGTGTCAGTCCAAAAGCTGTAATATTTCATGAGCTCTGAAGAACAAGCCCTGGGACCGACTCTTATGAGGTTCAGCTACTCGGGCAAAGAAGCATTTCCCCTTCTCTGCTCCTCTAAAACAGCGGTTCTCCACCTGTGGGTCGGGACCCCATTTGGGGTCGAACGACCATTGCACGGGGGTCGCCAAACAACGCAGCCCGCCATTTTTTCCCCCCTTTTCCTTAGCTGTGCTCCTCCCTTTTATTCTATTGGCTTTTGAAAGCCAATAGAATAGACTCTCTTGAATAGAGTCTAATTCTATTGGCTTTCAAAAGCCAATAGGAATTGTCCAGGCTGTCTCTGCCCTGCTGAGCCCGCCAAAAGTCCCATTCTGCAAACGGTGCTGCACCAGTTGAGTAGTCCTCGACTTACGACCGGTTGAGTAGTCCTCGACTTACGACCGGTTGGGGGGGTCGCAGCATTAAAAAGTTTGAGAACATCTGCTCTAAAAGATGGAGGCTGGATCTTCGACAATCCACAACAGTCTGATCACCGTGGAACCACCAAGAACACGCCACTCATATATAAGCAGGAGAGCAAACCCCTCCTCCCTTCTAGCACTGATCATGTTACCTAGTTGGATCATGAAACGTCTGCAAAAAAACAACCAAGCTCAGAGAGCACCAAGGACCCCATAGTCCTCTCCCTTTTTTCCTCCTCCTCCTCCTCCTCCTCCTCCTCCTCCTCCTCCTCCTCCTCCTCCTCCTCCTCCTCCTCCTCCTCCCAGCACTGATGATGTTACCTAGTCAGGTAATGAAACGTCTACAAGAAAACAACCCAGCTCAGAGAGCACCAAAAACCCCACCTTCCTCTCCCTTTTTTCCTTCTCCTCTTCCTCCAGGCACTGATGATGTTACCTAGTCAGGTAATGAAACGTCTGCAAGAAAACCACCCAGCTCAGGGAGCACCAAGGACCCCCAACCCTTCAGCCCTGAGCTACAAAGATTCTCTTCCATCAAATCTTCTTTTCCCGGCTAAAGGAAGCTGGGATATTCGAGCGGGAGGGCAGCGCAGAGCAGTGGGAAGCTCTGCCCAGCAGCCGGCCTTAAAACAAAGCACCCCCACTTCACGAGGGCTTTACCTGGAGCTCAATCCGAGCCTGCAAAGGAAAGGGACAGAGGTGTGTTTACCGTAAGTCTCTTCTCCTGGCGAGTTCGTCGGACGGGATGACCCACGGCAGGTCCTGCGGGAGACACTGCAGGACGTCCGGAGAGAAATCGGAGGTGTCCACCCCGTATTCGGCCAGGATGCCTTCGGTTTCTGGCTCAATTTCACCCGCCTGCCCGAGACTTCGGGCTAGTTGCCTGCGGAGAGCAAGTCAAAGGACAAGACGTTGCAGGCAAGTCAAAGGACAAGATGTCTGTCTTCATGTCTTGGAGACATCAGACCGCTCCCGTCAGAAAGGAGGACGGGTCACTGCCACCAAGTCCAAAAGGAGGCTTTAATAAATACTACGCAACCCATGCCTCGTTGGCTCATTGCTTGAGAGAGATTCCCTTACCCGAACCGAGAAACAGAGAGACCAAACAACCAGAGAGAGTAGGAGGGACTTCCGACTTCCTGCCGGCTTTCCCATTGAGTCCTCTTGTGGGAATCTGCAGGGCGCCTAGGAAGTCTCTGTTCCCTTCCCTTCCCTGTCCTTCCCTTCCCCTCTGTCCTTTCCTGTCCTTCTTTTCCTTTCCTTTCCTTCCCTTCTCCTCCCCTATCCTTTCCTGTCCTTCCCTTTCCTTCCTTTTCCTGTCCTTCCCTTCCCCTCCCCTGTCCTTTCCTGATCTTCTTTTCCTGTCCTTCCCTTCCTCTCTGTCCTTTCCTGTCCTTCCTTTCCTTTCCCTTCCCTTTCCTTCCCTTCCCCTCTCCTTTCCTGTCCTTCCCGTCCTTTCCTTCCTTTCCCTTCCCTCCCCTTTCCTTCCTCTCTCCTTTCCTGTCCTTCCTTTCCTTTCCTTCCCTTCCCCCGTCCTTTCCTTCCTTTCCTTTCCTTTCCCTTCCCTTCCTCTCTGTCCTTTCCTTTCCTGTCCTTCCTCTCCCTTCCCTTTCCTTCCCTTCCCCTCTCCTTTCCTGTCCTTCCCTTCCCCTGTCCTTTCCCTTCCCTTCCCTTCCTCTCTCCTTTCCTGTCCTTCCTTTCCTTTCCTTCCCTTCCCCCGTCCTTTCCTTCCTTTCCTTTCCCTTCCCTTCCCTGTCCTTCCCTTCCCGTCCTTTCCTGTCCTTCTTTTCCTTTCCTTCCCTTCTCCTCCCCTATCCTTTCCTGTCCTTCCCTTTCCTTCCTTTTCCTGTCCTTCCCTTCCCCTCCCCTGTCCTTTCCTGATCTTCTTTTCCTGTCCTTCCCTTCCTCTCTGTCCTTCCCTTCCCGTCCTTTCCCTTCCCTGTCCTTTCCTTCCTCTCTCCTTTCCTGTCCTTCCTTTCCTTTCCTTCCCTTCCCTTCCCCTGTCCTTCCCTTCCTTTCCTTTCCCTTCCCTTCCCTTCCCTTCCTCTCTGTCCTTCCCTTCCCGTCCTTTCCCTTCCCTTCCCTTTCCTTCCTCTCTCCTTTCCTGTCCTTCCTTTCCTTTCCTTTCCTTCCCTTCCCCCGTCCTTCCCTTCCTTTCCTTTCCCTTCCCTTCCCTTCCCTTCCTCTCTGTCCTTCCCTTCCCGTCCTTTCCCTTCCCTGTCCTTTCCTTCCTCTCTCCTTTCCTGTCCTTCCTTTCCTTTCCTTTCCTTCCCTTCCCCCGTCCTTCCCTTCCTTTCCTTTCCCTTCCCTTCCCTTCCTCTCTGTCCTTCCCTTCCCGTCCTTTCCCTTCCCTTCCCTTTCCTTCCTCTCTCCTTTCCTGTCCTTCCTTTCCTTTCCTTTCCTTCCCTTCCCCCGTCCTTCCCTTCCTTTCCTTTCCCTTCCCTTCCCTTCCCTTCCTCTCTGTCCTTCCCTTCCCGTCCTTTCCCTTCCCTTCCCTTTCCTTCCTCTCTCCTTTCCTGTCCTTCCTTTCCTTTCCTTTCCTTCCCTTCCCCCGTCCTTCCCTTCCTTTCCTTTCCCTTCCCTTCCCTTCCCTTCCTCTCTGTCCTTCCCTTCCCGTCCTTTCCCTTCCCTTCCCTTTCCTTCCTCTCTCCTTTCCTGTCCTTCCTTTCCTTTCCTTTCCTTCCCTTCCCCCGTCCTTCCCTTCCTTTCCTTTCCCTTCCCTTCCCTTCCCTTCCTCTCTGTCCTTTCCTGTCCTTTAAACAATCAGTCGCCAAGCGTCTGAATTTTGATCATGTGACCAGGGGGAGGCTGCAATGGTCGTTAAGGATGAAAAACGGCGGTAAGTCACTTTTTTTCCAGGGTTGTTGTAACTTTGAAGGGTCTCTAAAGGAACAGTGGCAAGTACAGGATCACCTGTACACTTCACCAAGTCAGATGAAGGTCTAATCATAGCTGCATGTGGCCAATTCACACGAGCGTGGCCAGTGCCAAGCCAAGTGGGCTTGTTGAGCTTCTACGTATGTGACTGAGGAGGTTGCTTAAGCAAAGCCCTTTCAGGTTATTATTATTATCTGCCTTTGAACGATCCAGGGTAATCTTTTACTCAGATTAACTGTATAGAACACAGAATCATAGGGACCATGGAGGTCATCTAGTCCAACCCCCCATTCAGGCAGGAACCACTATACCATTCCGGACAAATGGCTGTCCAGTCTCTCCTTAAAAACTTCCAATGACGGATCACCCACAACTTCTGGAGGCAGGTTATTCCACTGGTTAATTGTCCTCACGGTCAGGAAATTCCTCCTTAGTTCCAGGCTGCTTCTCTCTTTGATGAGTTTCCACCCCTGCCTTCAGGGGCTTTGGAGAAGAGCTTGACTCCCTCTTCTTTGGGGCAGCCCCTGAGATACTGGAAACACTGCTATCATGTCCCCCCTCGTCCTTCTCTTCATTAAACTAGACATGCCCAATTCCAGCAACTGTTCTTCATATCTATCAATCAGTCAATCAATCAATCAATCAGAATAGAGCTGGAAGGGACCTTGGAGGTCATCTAGTCCAACCCCCTCCTCTGGCAGGAGACCCTATACCATTTCAGACAAGTGGCTGTCCAGTCTCTTCTTAAAAACTTGCAGTGTTGGAGCATTCACCGCTTCTGGAGGCAGGTTGTTCCACTGGTGAATTGTTCTCACTGTCAGGAAGTTTCTCCTTAGTTCCAGGTTGCTTCTCTCCTTGATTAGTTTCCATCATTTGTTTCTTGTCCTGCCTTCAGGGGCTTTGGAGACTAAGTTGACCTCCTCCTCTTTGGGTCAGGCCCTCAAATACTGGAAGACTGCTATCATGTCACCCCTCGTCCTTTTCATTAGTCTAGGCCAGTGTTTCCCAAACTTGACAATTTTAAGGAATGTGGACTTCAACTCCCAGAATTCCACAGCCAGCAACGCTGGCTGTGGAATTCTGGGAGTTGAAGTCCTCATGCCTTAAAATTGTCAAGTTTGGGAAACACTGGTCTAGGCCAAGGCTTTTCAACCTTTTCACTCATTGTACCACTTTTAGGATATGGCAATATCCGAGTACCATCAGTCGCCCAGCAAGATGTCAAAAACTTGATGACCCCCCCCACCAAAAAGAAAAAAGTGATAAAGTACAGGTAGTCCTCAACTTACAACAGTTCGCTTAGTGTCTGTTCGAAGTTACAATGGCACTGAAAAAAGTCCCCCCAAGCCACAGCCGAGCAAGACGCCTGCCTGCCCACCCGGCGGTGCTCTTCCTCCTGTCCGAGGTTTTCATTGTTGTGAGCAATTCTGTTGAGGATTGGCAGCGGGGATGGGGAGGTGTTTGGTTTTTATTCCTCCCGTCTGCTGGGTGGTTGCCGCAGGTTTTGGTCACTTCACATGAACACTGTGTGTTCATAAATATGGGACACTGTGACTGTCATAAATATGAATCAGTTGCCAAGTATCTGAATGTAAATCACAAGACCCTGGAGAGGCTGCAACATTCCAGCTGATTGGCGCTTCTTCCGGGCTCAGCAGAAGCGCCAGGATCAGCACTGAGCTCCAGCTGGAGCCTGGCGCTGATCCTGGTGCTTCCGCTGAGCCCTGACGGCCCTGAAGAAGCGCCGATCAGCTGGAAAGCGGCACTGATCCTGGCGCTTCTGCTGAGCCCTGACAGCCCTGCAGCTCCAGCCGTCTCTCGCTCGGGCTTGTGCGGTGCTGCCACCGGTTCAGCTCATTCCCCTCCCCTGCTACCACTTTTCTAGGATGGTCGCGTCCCACCTACCAGGTGCCAATGTACCACAGGTGGTACCCGTACCACTGGTTGAAAAGCCTTGGTCTAGCCCAGGGTTAGGTAACCTTGGCTCTTTTATGATTCGTGGACTTCAACTCCCAGAATTCCTGAGGCAGCCATGCTGAGGGGAAAGGGAGAGGTTTCCAAGCTGAGCCATGCTGGCTGAGGAATTCTGGGAGTTGAAGTCCATCAGTCATAAAAGAGCCAAGGTTGCCTACCCCTGGTCTAGATATACTAGTCTAGACAAGTATGTTAGTAGTTTGTGGTAGTTAGTACTACTTAGTAGGCAGTAATTAGACCAGACAAACAGAAAACAAGGGCAACCAGCAGCAAAGTGGATGGACTCAGTTCCCATAGCGATGGGTGCAACACCTGAAGGAGCAGGTGAGAGACAGACTGTCCTGGAGAAAAATCTATCTTTGTCATCATGAAGCATCAACGCCAACTTCAATCGTAAACATGGCAACTTGGGCTAATAATAATTATGAGTCATTTTTTTTTTTTTTTTTTAAAAAGTCATTTCTTCTATTGTTAACTTGGGGGATATCTCCACGACGAAGGGAGCAGCATCAGGTTACAGGAAATAAAAGAGGTTAAACAATGGGACAGAATTCACCTGCGTGAAGCTTTCTCGTCAGGGAACAGGCAGTGATTCACCCTGCTTTCGCTGGAAGTAAAATTACGTAAGGCAGGTGTCAGCTTAAGAGGGAGTGCTAACAGAGTTCCTAGCTCGTTGGACAGATTACATCAGCCTTCTGCAAGGACTGGACTTTTCATCCCATTATTTCCAGTTGGCCCCTGTACCCCGAGGGCACCAGATTGGAGAAGAAGGATGAATGAGATTGGTGGACCCCGTGCATTTCCTTGTATTCTGGTGACACACAATTACTCATCCTTCTCGGAGGCAGGGCTGGGGGAAAGGAGAGAAATTTAAGTATGCTCCATATCTCACTTTTATTCCATGCTGCAAGTAGGGCTAGATTAATGGGGGAAAAACATTCACTCAGAGACATGGGTGTAGGATATAGGAAGTCTGTCAACGCTGCTAACATCGGATGTTTTTGCTTTGACAACAGTTGGAGATGCAGCCCTTTTCCTCCTTATGTTTTACTCTGAGAATTAGAGTTAGAAATAGATGATTCTGGGGGAGGGGGAAGGAATGTGCGTGGGAGTTTAGTTAGACCAGGGATAGGCAACCCAAAACACTCAAAGAGCCACTTGGACCCGTTTCCCACCAAAAACAAAACACCGGCAGCCGCAAAACCCTTTTGATATCTAAAATGAAGATAACACTGCATATATCCTTTTTTACCTTTATTATAGGTGTGTGTATGTGTATGTGTATGTGTGTGTGTGTATGTGTATGTGTATATGTGTATACACACACACACACACACACAGACACACACACACATATACACATTAAAAATAAAAGTAAAAATATGACTCTTGGGAATATCCATACTATTAAAACAATGATCACCAAGAGAATGCTTTAAGAGAATAAAATTACATACACGCAAAGGTAAAAAAAGGATATATGCAGTGTTATCTTCATTTTAGATGTCAAAAGGGTCTCTCTCTCCCTCCCTCTCTATCTGCCCTTGGTCTGCCACTCCTCTTTCCCCACTCTCTCTCTCTCCCTCTCTCTCTCTTTCTCTCTCTCCCTTTCTCTCTCTCTCTTTCTCCCCCCCTCCTATCTGCTGCTCACCTGGCAAGCTTCAAGCTGTTGTCCAACAACCTCCGGGGTAGGCAACCTCGTCTCTTTTATGACTCATGGACTTCAACTCCCAGAATTCCTGAGTCAGCCTAGCTGGGCTAGCTAGCTCTCTCCTGCCCTTCCTGTTTCCTGCTTCCTTCAGAGACACAGCAAAGGGAGGAGCTCCGCCCAGTAAGCTTTTCAGCTCCTCGGAGAATACTGTGAGTGCACTCTCTTTTACACATACACACAGACACACACACACAAAAACACAAACACACACACACAGAGAGAGAGAAAGAGAGAGAAGCAGGGAAGCGCAATTGCCTCTCTCTGTCTCTGTCTCTCTCTGCAAAGGCAGAGGAGGCTGGGAGCCACAGGGGAAGGCTCAAAGAGCCGCATGCGGCTCCAGAGCCGCAGGTTGCCGACCTGTGAGTTAGACATAACAATACTGTAACTAGTGTGAGAACCAAAGTTTTTTGAAATAAGAGATGGTAAGAAATGGCGGGCTGAAGAACTGGAGGGAAGGCCTGCATTTCACGCTAATTGGAGAATTGTGATTTATGACTGTTAACTGGAGGAGGGAATTGTGCTTTGATCCTATGTGCTCAGGGGAGGGGAATCCAGTTTTTGGCTTCGAGTGTGTTAGTGACGATGTTATGGTACTCAAATAAAGATTCTTTAAGGTAAACAATGCCTCGAAGTTCTTTGAAGAGTTTTATCTGTCGGAACTAGGACAAAGTCCTGGATAAACAACCAAACCTGAGCTCCAAATTTCTATCGCTAAGCCAGGCTGTTGTTAAATAAGCTTTGTCCCATTTTACGACATTTCTCGCCACTGCAGTTGTTAGCTCAGCTTCCCCAGGAGATCTCGAAAGAGGATCCCAGGACGTTGCAACTGTCATAAACGTGAACCAGTTGCCAATTTTGATCACGTGACTGTGGAGATGCTGCAACGGTCCTAAGTGTGAAAAACAGCCATAAGTCTTTTTTTTTTTTTCCCCTTGCTGGTCACTACAAGAATGCTCGTAAGTCAAGGGCGACCTGTTCTACTTTCTCTCTTGCATGAACTGATGATTTTTAACCCAAAGTTCAAGCTTTTGTGCTTGCTAGAAACGAGACGGTATTCCAGGCCTCCTAATTCCTGGAAACAGCTTCATTTCTACTCTTACCACAACTGGGATAAACCTGGGATTAAGGAGAAATTTCCTGATAGTGAGAACGATTAATCAGTGGAACAACCTGCCTCCAGAAGTTGTGGGCGCTCCAACACTAGAGGTTTTTAAGAAGAAACTGAACATCCATTTGTCTGGAATGGTGTAGGGTCTCCTGCTGGAAGAGGCATAGAATCAAAATATAAGGAACGGTGGCTGGAATTGGGTACGTCTAGTTTAATCAAGAGAAGGACGAGGGGAGACATAATAGCAGCGTTCCAATATCTCAGGGGCTGCCCCAAAGAAGAGGGAGTCAAGCTATTCTCCAAAGCGCTGAAGGCAGGACAAGAAGCAACGGATAGAAACTAATCAAGGAGAGAAGCAACCTGGAACCAAGGAGGAATTTCCTGACAATTAACCAGTGGAACAACCTGCCTCCAGAAGCAGTGAATGCTCCAACACTGGAAGTTTTTAAGAAGAGACTGGACAGTCATTTGTCTGAAAGGATATAGGGTTTCCTGCCTGAGCAGGGGGTTGGACTAGATGACCTCCAAGGTCCCTTACAATTTTATATTGTTGTTGTTGTTATTATTATTATATCACGTGAAGTATTAGTACCGCTTTATAAAGCCTTAGTAAGGCGACGCCTGGAATATGGCATCCAGTTTTGGTCACCACACGACAAAAAAAAACATGTTGAGACTTTGGAAAAAGTGCAAAGAAGAGCAACTAAGATGATTAAAGGCCTGGAGACAAAAACATACAAAGACAATTGCTGGAATTGGGTGTGTCTAGTCTAAGGAAGAGAAGGACAAGGGGGGGGGGACATGAGGGCAGTCTTCCAATCTCTCAGGGGCTGCCCCAAAGAAGAGGGAGTCAAGTTATTCTCCAAAGCGCCTGAAGGCAGGACAAAAAGCAACGGATGGAGAAACTCATCAAGGAGAGAAGCAACCTAGAACTAAGGAGAAATTTCCTGACAGTTAGAACAATTAACCAGTGAAACAACCTGCCTCCAGAAGCGGTGAATGCTCCAACACTGGAAGTTTTTAAGAAGAAACTGGACAGACACTTGTCTTAAATTGCAGGATGAGCAGGGGACTGGACTAGAAGACCTCCGAGGTCCCTCCTGACTCTTGTTATACTGCTACTATTCCCCTCTTCCATTCCATTCAACAGCCACATACCCCAGGGCAAAGTTGCTGTCTTCCCGCCAATCCACAATGCGGCAGATGAAAAGAATGCTGGCGTAGTCCTCGGGGCGCGTGGCGAAATCAGGAGGGCAGTCAGCCAGGGCCACGTAGGAACGAGGCACCCTGTGGTCCACCGGCGAGAACATGGCGTATTTCTGGAACAAGTCACTGTTGCGATCGGTCAAGAGGCGGATGAAGCCCATGGCTGTCCGGGAGTGCTTCCTCTCCAATATGTAGACCACCTGGGAGAGCCGACAGATCAACAGTTAGGGAGGCTTTGCCAAACAATGTAGTCAGGGACAATATTGGTAGCTCAGGGCTGACACGAGGGGTCCTTGGTATTCTCGGAGCTGGGTGGTTTTCTTGCCCAACTAGGTAGCATCATCAGTGGAGGAGGGGGAGGGGGAGGAGGAGAAGGAGAAAGAGAAGGAGAAGGAGGGGGAAAAAAAAGGGGTTTGGTTTTCATGCAGAAGTATCAATATTCAACTAGGTAACATCATCAGTGGAGGAGGAGGAGGAGGAGGAGGAGAGGAGAAGAAGGAAAAGGAGAAGGAGGAGGAGGAGGAGGAGAACTAGATGATTTATAAATAGAAGGAGGAGGAGGAGGAGAACTAGATGATTTATAAATAGAAGGAGGAGGAGGAGGAGGAGGAGGAGGAGAAGAAGAATTAGATGACTTATAAATAGGAGGAGGAGGAGAAGAAAAAACATGAGCTTGGTTTTCTTGCAGAAGTTTCATTATTCAACTAGGTAACATCATCAGTGGAGGAGGAGGAGGAGGAGAAGGAGAAGGAGAAGGAGAAGAAAAATAATGAGCTTGGTTTTCTTGCAGACGTTTCGTTACCCAACTAGGTAATATCATCAGTGCAGGAGGAGGAGGAGGAGGAGGAGAAGAAGGAGAAGGAGAAGAAAAATAATGAGCTTAGTTTTCTTGCAGATGTTTCATTACCCAACTAGGTAACATCATCAGTGCAGGAGGAGGAGGAGGAGAAGAAGGAGGAGAAGGAGAAGGAGAAGAAAAATAATGAGCTTGGTTTTCTTGCAGACGTTTCGTTACCCAACTAGGTAATATCATCAGTGCAGGAGGAGGAGGAGGAGGAGGAGAAGGAGGAGAAGGAGAAGGAGAAGAAAAATAATGAGCTTGGTTTTCTTGCAGACGTTTCGTTACCCAACTAGGTAACATTGTCAGTGTAGGAGGAGGAGGAGGAGGAGGAGAAGGAGAAGAAAAATAATGAGCTTGGTTTTCTTGCAGACGTTTCATTACCCAACTAGGTAACATCATCAGCGCTAGTAAGGAGTGATTCCAGAGGTTAGTGGGAGTGGTTTTAGAAGTGATAAGTAGGAGAAACAAGCAGGAGACTGGCAGAAGGCATCCTTCAACACCAACTAGCAGTCAGAAGACACGATGAAAACTACTTGATTTCACAACCTATGGACAGATTTCGCCACGGTTTCCACTGGGAAACTAGGACCATCCCAGACCAAGCCAAGCCCAGAACCGCTTGGGACTTTCTAGAAGCCTGGCTCTCTGACACAGAGACAGCCATCAACAGACACATAGACAACAAGAGCATCCGTAGATAAAGAGACACTCACCAGCCCCAAAGGGAACAAAGAGGCCCAGGCTCCTCTCCACCAGCAAGGAGCACCCAGATGAGCATCAGACCAAAAATCAAATAAAGAATGTCCCCATCAAGGAACAAAGCAACAGTAAGCAGCCCAATCAAAGGAGCTCTAAGATAAACCCAGGGAAAGCCATGAGAATATCAGCTGAGAGCAAACCCCACTCCTTTCAAGCACAGTCGTCCTCCTCCTCCTCCTCCTCCTCCTCCTCCTCCTCCTCCTCCTCCTCCTCCTCCTCCTCCAACCCCTCTCCCTTCTAGCACTGATGATGTTCCCTAGTTGGGTAATAAAACGTCTGCAAGAAAACAAGCAAGCTCAGAGAGCACCAAGGACCCCACAATCCTTTCTCTTTTTCTCCCCTCCTGCTCCTGCTGTTCCTCCTCCTCCTCCTCCTCCAACTCCTCTCCCTTCTAGCACTGATGATGTTACCTAGTTGGGTAATGAAATGTCTACAAGAAAGCAACCCAGCTCAGAGAGCACAAAGGACTCCATAGTCTTCCTCCTCCTCCTCCTCCTCCAACCCCTCCCCCTTCTAGCACTGATGATGTTCCGTAGTTGGGTAATAAAATGTCTGCAAGAAAACAGCCAAGCTCAGAGAGCACCAAGGACCCCACAGCCCTCTCCCTTTTTTCCTCCTCCTCCTCCTCCTCCTCCTCCTCCTCCCCACTCAGCAAACCTCATTCCTTCTAGCACTGATGATGTAACCTAGTTGGGCAATGAAACGTCTGCAGGAAAACCCCCAAACTCAGAGAGCACCAAGAGCCCCCACAGATCATGGAGCCCCCCCCAGAGCCACCTGGTTTATTTTATTTATTTGTTTCTTTGTTTGTTTGGTTGTTTGTTAAATGTATTTGCCGCCTCTCTCACCCTGGGTCTACTCCAACACAAAGGACAAAAAAAGAAAAAAGAAAGAAAGGTGTGTAAGCAGAAGAGAAGCAAGATGCTATAAAATAAGCAATGAAAAAAGGGATCCAGCGAGAGTACATTTCCCCCTCATTTTGAATGTGGCGATGCTTTTGCCAAACACCAAGGAGGCCTTTTTTTTTTTTTCTATTCGTGGCTCGCCCTTTTTTAGCTTAGTAATTTAATTTACGAACTGACGAGTTTGGATAAAAAAAGGAAGGATACCTTTGCAGTCTTTTGTACAGTCTGCTCCGGGTTAGCCGTGTCTTCTGGTTTTGAGGCATGGACACTGCAACTTTCCAAATCTTTTCCTAAAACACACACACACACACAAGAAAGCACATAGAATAAATACATTCACTGCATTTGGATCAAAGTCACTTTTAAAATGACCCGTTCTGGCCCGGTGAAGGGCCAAATGTGAGGGCTGGAAAGGAGCAAACTCACGATGTATCCAGATCCCTCTAACCAGCAACCTAGAAAAGAAATACGCTTCAACTTCCATTATGCACATCTGCTAAAATCAAAATAAGCCCAACATTCACCAAAAAAACCCCCCCAAACCCACTATATACCATCCATAATAAACATAATGGCGGAAAACACGTTCTATTTCTTAAGTACAAATAAAAAGTTGGAACTTCTTGGTGCGTCCAACATCGAGGTCATTGAATTTGTTACTGTATATAAACAGCTCCCCTTTTTCAAGGCTCGCATTCATTAAAATATTTAACTTCCTTCAGAGAGAAAAAACGGTCCGGCAAGATCAGAAAATGCGCATTTCAGCCGAGGAGCCTAAACTGCAGTGGTATCAGGTCAAAAAGTCTCAAGAGAAACCACATTTGGGGGGAAAGAAAGAAAAGAAAAAAAAAATCAAAAATGGTTTACGAAGCAGGAACACGAGGGGAGGGATGACACGGGTTTAGATCCAAGACAGTGTCAAGAAATCAAATGCACAAAAGCAGCAAAGTGAGAAAGGCAACTTGAACTTTTGTGAGGCTGCAAAGTAGAAAGGCAGCCCCTTAAGCATTTGGATGCAGACAAAGCTCAAAGTTTTTGTGCCAATCCACCTGCCCTTTGGCCACTAACTGCAAATCCGGATGTTTCCCTACTTCCAAGGAAGCTTAATTGCTAATGGAGCCGGTCACTTTCCATCGCCCTCCCATTTAAGGAAAAGTTCTTCTAGGCCAGGGGTAGGCAACCTTGGCTCTTTTATGACTCGTGGACTTCAACTCCCAGAATTCCTGAGCCAGCATGGGGGAACTATGGCCCCTTCATGACTCGTGGACTTCAACTCCCAGAATTCCTCAGCCAGCATGGGGGAACTATGGCCCCTTCATGACTTGCGGACTTCAACTCCCAGAATTCCTGAGCCAGCATGGGGAAACTATGGCCCCCTCATGACTTGTGGACTTCAACTCCCAGAATTCCTCAGCCAGCATGGGGGAACTATGGCCCCTTCATGACTCGCGGACTTCAACTCCCAGAATTCCTGAGCCAGCATGGGGAAACTATGGCCCCTTCATGACTCGTGGACTTCAACTCCCAGAATTCCTCAGCCAGCATGGGGAAACTATGGCCCCTTCATGACTCGTGGACTTCAACTCCCAGAATTCCTCAGCCAGCATGGGGGAACTATGGCCCCTTCATGACTCGCGGACTTCAACTCCCAGAATTCCTGAGCCAGCATGGGGGAACTAGGGCCCCTTCATGACTCGTGGACTTCAACTCCCAGAATTCCTGAGCCAGCATGGCTCAGCTTGGAAACCTCTCCCTTTCCCCTCAGCGTGGCTGGCTCAGGAATTCTGGGAGTTGAAGTCCACCAGTCATAAAAGAGCCCAGGTTGCCCACCCCTGTTCTAGAGTTACCTTTTATTGGTTTGTTTTATTGATTTGTACAGCTAGGTTTTTGTATGTTTATTTTATTTACTTGTGCAACCTACGACCACAATTGAGCCCCAAATTTGTGTGAAACATTTGTTCAGGGAATTTCGCCCCGTTTTACAACCTCCCTGGCCGCAGTGCTTAAGGGAATCGCTAACCCGGTTGTTAAGTGAATCTGGATTCCCCCCATTGACTTTGCCAGAAGGTGGCGGAAGGGGATCACGTGACCCCGGGACACGGCAACGGTCGTAAGTATGAACCAGTTGCCAAGGGTCTGAATTTTGATCACCTGACCGTGGAGGGGTGCTACAAAGATGGTGAGTGTGAAAAATAGTCGTCATTTTTTCCAGTGCTGTTGTAACCCTGAACGGTCACTAAATGAACTGCTGTATGTTGAGGACTTACCTTATTTTGATAAATAACTCGAGGTGGCGAACAAGCAAAAATACTCCTCTCTCCTCCTATTTTTCCCACAACAACCCTGTGAGGTGGATTGGGCTGAGAGAGAGTGATTGGGCTGAAGTCACCCGGCCGGCTTTCATATGAAAGGCAGAATTAGAACTCACTGTCGCCTGGTGATTGGCTCAAACTCACCCAGGCTTTCGTGTGAAAGGCAAAACTAGAACTCACTGTCACCTGGTGACTGCCCAAAATCACCCAGCCGGCTTTCATGTGAAAGGCAGAACTAGAACTCACCGTCGCCTGGTGACTGCCCAAAGTCACCTAGCCGGCTTTCATGTGAAAGGCAGAACTAGAACTCACCGTCGCCTGGTGACTGCCCAAAGTCACCTAGCCGGCTTTCATGTGAAAGGCAGAACTAGAACTCACCATCGCCTGGTGACTGCCCAAAGTCACCTAGCCGGCTTTCATGTGAAAGGCAGAACTAGAACTCACCGTCGCCTGGTGACTGCCCAAAGTCACCTAGCCGGCTTTCATGTGAAAGGCAGAACTAAAACTCACCGTCGCCTGGTGATTGGCCCAAAGTCACCCAGCTGGCTTTCGTGTGAAAGGCAGAACTAGAACTCACTGTTGCCCAGTGATGGCTCAAACTCACCCAGAAGGCTTTCGTGTGAAAGGCAGAATTGGAACTCACTGTCGCCTGGTGATTGGCCCGAAGTCACCCAGCCGGTTTTCATGTGAAAGGCAGAATTAGAACTCACTGTCGCCTGGTGATTGGCCCAAAGTCACCCAGCCGGCTTTTATGCCTTAACACGGGACTAGAACTCACCGTCTCCTGGCGATTGGCCCCAAGTCACCTTAAGGTTGGCAGGACATCTGCATTATATACCTTGTTCTGCCTCCATGAGAAAATAAAAGGGGGGGGGAATGACTTGGGGACCACTTGAACCCACAACTCTGCTTTAAAGAGCTCTGAAGAATAATCTGAAGGGAAGCGTGGCGGCCTCTTGAGACTCAGGGGTGGGACTACCGTAGTGAGGAATACACCAAAATCCAATTCTGCGTGAAAAATGTTTCCCTGAGCGACTTGGAGTCCAACCCAATCAACATTAAGGTCAACCTACGGGCCAGTCTAGCCCAAACTATCCCCTCCAGATGTGTTGATCTTCCAACTTCTGCTGGCTGGGGAGGAAGGGAGCGGGTCCAACACAACTGGAGGATGCGAGGTGAGGAAGGGTTAGACAAACACATTTAACTGTCCCAGCTGTGAGTGGGCGCTAGGAGGGGCCCGATTCTTAATATTCCAGCAAAGACGACAGCTGAAGTGTCTCCCTTGCGAGAGAGGAAAGAATCAGGACCCCCTTTAAGGCAAGGAGGTCCCCATCCTGGCTTGTATGAACACGGTTCCTTGGCCGGGTCTTGCCAAACGGATGGACTTCTGCTTGGAGAACATCAAGGGGGCCACACAAAGGACCATAGAGTTAAAGAGTCACAGACAAGCCAATTCAAACATGCCAGGCAGATGTTTGAACCCACCCCATCACCCAGGATGGATGGATTGATGGATTGATTATTTTTTTATTTATTTTCTCACTTTGGGTATTTTTATACATAATTTAAGGTGGTAAACTTATCCAACAGACCTTCTTCCTCCCGTATGCCTCACAACAATCCTGGGAGGTGGGCCGGTCTGAGAGAGAGGGACTGGCCTAAGGTCACTCAAAGAGCTTTCATGCCTAAGGCAGGACTAGAACTCACCGTCTCCTGGTGATTAGCCCAAAATCACCCAGCTGGCTTTCTCCCTAAAGCGGGACTAGAACTCCCAGTCTCCTGGTGATTGGCCCAAAGTCCCCCACCTGGCTTTCCTGCCTAAGGCGGGACTACGACTCATCGTCTCCTGCTGATTGGCCCAAAGTCACCCAGCTGGCTTTCCTGCCTAAGGCGGGACTATGACTCATCGTCTCCTGCTGATTGGCCCAAAGTCACCCAGCTGGCTTTCCTGCCTAAGGAGGGACTACAACTCACTGTCTCCTGGTGATTGGCCCAAAGTCTGCCACCTGGCTTTCTTGCTAAAGCAGGACTAGAACTCACTGTCTCCTGGTGATTGGCCCAAAGTCACCCAGCTGGCTTTCCTGCCTAAGGCGGGACTAGAACTCACTGTCTCCTGGTGATTGGCCCAAAGTCTGCCACCTGGCTTTCTTGCTAAAGCGGGACTAGAACTCACTGTCTCCTGGTGATTGGCCCAAAGTCTGCCACCTGGCTTTCCTGCCTAAGGCGGGACTAGAACTCACTGTCTCCTGGTGATTGGCTCAAAATCACCTACCTGGCTTTCCTGTCTAAGGTGGGACTACAACTCATCCTCTCCTGCTGATTGGCACAAAGTCACCCAGCTGGTTTTCATGCCTAAGGCGGGACTAGAACTCGCCGTTTCTAGCCTGGTGCCTCAGCTACCTTGTTCTTTTTCTTTAAAGCTATGTAGGGCATAGAAAAGCCTCAGGCTTCCTTCTTCTTTAAAATCCCATTTGACCTGCAAGCACCCGTACTGTTTTATTTATTTTGCAAAGGCAAAAAAAAAAAGTATTTCAGGCATATTTCTTCCTTTCTCAAAGCCATCAACTGTTAAGAAAAAATTAAAATATTCTAAATTATGCGGAAGTGCTGTAATGTTGGGGGAAGAGTGCAGAGAAGAGCAACAAAGATGATTAGGGACTGGAGGCTAAAACATACAAGTTGCTGGAATTGGGTATGTCTAGTTTAATGAAGAGAAGGACGAGGGGGGACATGATAGCAGCGTTCCAATATCTCAGGGGCTGCCCCAAAGAAGAGGGAGTCAAGCTATTCTCCAAAGCGCCTGAAGGCAGGACAGGAAGCAATGGATGGAGAAACTGATCAAGGAGAGATCCAAGCTGGAGCTAAGGAGACATTTTCTGACAGTGAGAACAATTAAGCAGTGGACCTGCTTGCCTCTGGAAGCTGTGGGTGCTCCATCACTGGAGGCTTTTAAGAAGAGCCTGGACAACCATTGGCCA